AAAAAAAAAAAAAAAAAAACCAATGTTACAATAAAGGCAGCAACAGATTGAATAAGACTTGTTTCCCATTCCTCTCATTTTACCTTATCCACCTTCCTCAGTTTTCTTTTTCGCCTTAAACTATAAATGACTAACAATATGCAATCATATTTTTTTTTTTTTGAAAAAACTGTAATAATGAAAACTACAAAAAACGAGAAAAAATCATGTGACAAATTAAATATGCAAAAAATTGCCAGTGAAAAGCAGTTATTATCGTTGTTTTTGTTGTTGATGATATGGTAATAGATCCTTGTTTTTCAGAGCAAAAAAAAAAAAATGATAAAAAAAATAAACTTAAAGTGTAAAAAATTTAGATAAGTCTGAAAATAATAGGGCTTATTTGGCTTAACTATAATTTTATCTATAGTAGACCTCTATGAAAACAAATAGCAGCAGCAGCACCAACACTTATAAGCAACAGCCTATTAACTCTGCAAGTAGATAAATTTTTGCATGAAATAACTGCAAGACACATAGATTAAAGCAAGAAAAATAGTCTAAAATTTCAAAAGATAATTCTAATTGCTGCTAGATCACTTTTTAGTATAAGAAAGTAAATTTTTATCCTCAATAACAGTGACAAAAATATGAAAACAAATAACAGTAATGGTTAGTATAACAGATAAAGATGAGAAAGGTAGTTTAAAAAAAAGAAAAAAAATTTGAAAATTATATAAAACCAGAAGAAAACGGTAAACAATGGAAATTTTTCGGAGGAAATTTTAATAAATAGTAACACTGAATTCATTAATTTCTATGTATCAGTCATCAAACAGAAAAAAGTACCAATGTGTACCGCAGCAAAACCAATCCAAACAGTTTTACAGATTTATTTTGAGCATTACACAAAACATATATATATATATACATATTTACTCAAATATACATCAAAATTTTACATAGTCTTCAGTTAGACCATATAAAATTACATAAAAGAAATATACAGATATTAGAAAATAAAGCATTTATATACTTACTGATCTAATCACATAACAAAAAAAACTTCTGCCCGTTTCTTTCCCAGCTTTTTAAGCTAATATTTTAAAAAACAAAAGAAGGAAAGATAAACTTAATAAACTATGGGTTAATTGAAGAAATATGATTAGATTATATTGTGCACTGATCAAAATATATATATGTATTTGTATAAATATGTTAGTGAAACGGATAGATAGATATAGCGTATATAGAAGTTTGATGTTCCTTCTTTTTCTTCAATTCTCTTTTCTCTTCTTCCTCTTCTACTTTTGACCATACTTTTGCTCCTCAAAAAAATACCAAATTCTTTAGTTCAGATACTGAAAATACAGTTCGATAAGTAAATTTACTTCGCCGTTCTTCGTTTTTACTTCTTTTTGTTTTTGTTTTTGTTTTTTTGATCACAGTTTATATATAAAATGTGTTAACCAATCAAAAACATACTTCGATTATTAAAAACACCAAAGAAAAATAATGTTATCAGTCGACTTTACAGAAGAATGAGAAGAAAAGGAGGAAGAAGAAGAAGAAGAAGAAGAGGAAGAAGAAGAAGAAGAAGAAGAAGAAGGAGGAGGAGGAGGAGAAAAACGAGATGTAGAGACAGAAGAAAGAGTAGAAGAAGAAGGAATAGGTGAGAAAAATGAACGAATGAGTGAATGAACGAACGAACAAACCAACAAACAAGCAAATAAGTGGATAAACAAACAAAACATAAATAAAACAGTGTAAGCAAAATTTTTTTATAGAGTTGGAAAATTCTTTATCAATTTTTGCAATTAATTTTTTCTTAAAAAATTATGCTAATAAAGTTGCTTTCTTTTTTTTTTCTTTTGATAAAAAATTTTTACTGGTAAATTAGCCAGGCTAGAATATAGCAAAGCTGTAAGAAGACAAAAAGATTACAATCTGTTGTTCAAAATTGATGAGATCTACATGAATCTGTTTGATATGAGAAAGGATTGCAGGAAAAAGTTACACACATTATTTGCTGTGCTGTTTGAAAATTTTGTTGAAGCACATTTTTGGTCTAAGACAAAATCTATGGTCATCATCAGTCAACAGTTTTGCGCTCAACAAAAGAACGACAAACCGACTACAATTTAGATGGACTTATTAACAACG